TCCCCTTCGATACCTACCACTGTCATATCCACAAGTTGCTCTGGACCTATTAATTACCAATGAAATATGTATAACCAGGAATACTGTTAAATACATAAATTTTGTGGACTGTATATTAAAAATAATAAATGGTTATATATATACACAATTACATAACAGAAGGAAAATATATCTTAATATCACTCACCAATTTGACTGGATATTAAGTTGTATCATACTCAGAAAAACCTCACTAACTAAATTTATGAAAACACTGGCCAGAATTATACACAAATTTAGAGAGCTTATCTGAGGTTCCTGGAGCTGTCTTGTCCAGTCGTCTGATATCTCAAGTTATGCAGGAATGCATGTCCAACAATTTCGCCTCCTATTTGAGAGGTGTCAGCCCAATTTTAACCTCTAGAGCACGAAAATTCCTTCCCATTACACTAATGTTGTATCCAATTCCAAACCAAGATGGCGAGTGTCCCTTCTTTTTTTCGATAACATACTCCTTTTAAAAATACAATATAGGGCATCTATTTACCTATAAATTACTGTATTTCCGGAAAATATATACAGTATTTTCCACAACTGTGTTGCTGAGCATTCAGTAGAATGGAGTATTCTGTTAGGTAATGTAATTAAAAAATAACAAAGTTTGATTGGGTCACAGGTTAGACATTTATGAGATACAATTATGAGAAACATTTATGAGATACAATTTATGAGATACAATTTTTCAGTATTTATTTAGTTGTGGGTGAGTAAGTGATTTTTGAGAAGAGACTTGAATTTATAAACAGACAGTGTTTCTTTTATATTCACAGGTAATGAATTCCAGATTTTAGGGCCTTTTATGTGCATTGAGTTTTTGCATAGTGCGAGATGGACTCGAGGAACATCAAAGAGTGTTATGGTCATGTGTTCTGTTGAGGTTGGTAAGGAGATGTTTGAGGGGAGGGTTTATATCAGAATTAAGTGTTCTATGAATATAGTAGGTGCAGTAATAAGTATGGATGTTTTGTATGGTGAGTAGGTTTAGAGTTTTGAATATTGGTGGAGTGTGCTGCCTGTAGTGAGAATTTGTTATCATTCTAACTGCAGCCTTTTGTTGGGTAATTAGTGGTCTGAGATGGTTAGTTGTTGTTGAGCCCCATGCACAAATTCCATAGGTGAGATAGGGGTAAATCATTGAGTGATATAGGGCCAGGAGGGCTGACTGTGGAACATAGTACCATATCTTCGATAGTATGCCTACGGTCTTGGAAATTTTTTTAGAAATTTGTTGTATATGTGTTTGAAATTTGAGTCTATTATCAAGGTGGATTCCTAAGAATTTTCCCTCTGTTAGCTTTGTGATAGGTGATCTGTTTATCGTTATGTTAAGAGGTACATCTGTAGCTCTGTTACCAAACTGAATGAAGTAGGTTTTGTCAATGTTTAGTGTAAGTTTGTTAGTACTCATCCAGGTTGATATTTTCTGTAATCTGATATTCACAGTATTGGCTAGCATGACTGGGCTCGGGTGAGAGAAGACGTATGTAGTGTCATCTGCAAAAAGTGTGGGTTTGAGTAATTGCGATGCATTTGGTAGGTCATTTATGTATATGAGAAAGAGAAGAGGGCCAAAGACACTTCCCTGTGGGACACCAACTGTAATTGGCTGTGCGGAAGAGTTTGCCCCATTTGTGTACACATATTAGCTTCTGTTGCTGAGGTATGACTTTAGGTAGTTGAGGGAGTGCCCTCTTATACCATAGTGTGACAATTTTATGTGGAGCAAGTCATGGTCAACTGTATCAAAAGCTTTACATAAGTCAATGAAGATCCCCAGTGGGACTTCTTTTTTCTCTATTGCAGTGTATATATGTTCTAGCATGTGTATAATAGCATCATTAGTATTTTTATTAGGCCTGAACTCAAATTGATAGGGGATGAGTATGGGAACGAGTACTGTGCCTTGTGGAACAGAGCTTGTCACCGTAGCCGCCTCAGACTTTACTCTGTTGACTACTACTCTTTGTGTTCTATTTGTCAGGAAATTATAGATCCATCTACCAACTTTTCCTGTTATTCCTTTAGCACGCATTTTGTGCTCTATTACGCCATGGTCACACTGGTCAGAGGCTTTTTCAAAGTCTGTATATATATTACATCTGCATTCTTTTTGTATTCTAGTGCATCCAGGACCTTGTCGTAGTGATCTAGTAGTTGGGACAGACAAGAGTGACCTGCTCTAAACCCATGTTGCCCTGGGTTGTGTAATTGATGGGTATCTAGATGGGTGGTGATCTTGCTTCTTAGGACCTTTTCAAAGATTTTTATGATATGGGATATTAGTGCTATTGGTCTGTAGTTCTTTGCTGTTGCTTTACTGCCCCCTTTGTGGAGTGGGGCTATCTGTTGTTTTCAGTAACTGTGGGACGACCCCCGTGTCCATGCTCCCTCACCATAGGATGGTAAAAGCTCATGATAGGGGCTTCTTGCAGTTCTTGATGAACACAGAGTTCCATGAGTCTGACCCTGGGGCAGAGTGCATGGGCATGTCATTTATCGCCTGTTCGAAGTCATTTGCCATCAGGATAACATGAGATAGGCTTGTGTTTACCAAATTCTGTGGCTCTCTCATAAAAAATTCATTTAGATCTTCGACTCTCAGTCTGGTTAGCGGCTTGCTAAAAACTGAGTCATATTGGGACTTGAGTAGCTCACTCATTCCATATAATATCGTAACCAACATTATATGGAAGGAAACATGTTAGGAGTCACCTGCATTAATGAAAAGAAATGTTTTGGCTATCAACATTATAGATAAACATTCTGAGACTTCTTCTTTCAACAAACCAGCCATATCCCACTGAGGCAGGGTGGCCCAAATTATTATAATCAAAGAAAGTCCTAAACCAACAAGAGGGTGGCCCATAAGAAAAAGCGAGGGTTTCTCCTTTTAAATTTATTAATATATACAGGAGAAGGGCTTACTAGTCCCTTGCTCCCGGCATTTTAGTCGTCTTTTATGACACACATGGCTGATGGAGGAAGAATTCTGTTTCACTTTCCCATGGAGATAAGAGGAAATAAACAATTATTATTATTATAATCAAAAAAGAAGCGCTAAGCCACAAAGCCTATACAGCGAGGAAATAAACAAGAACAAGAACTAGTAAGAAAATAGAAGAAAACCCAGAAGGGCGTGTATGTATGCTTGAAATGGGAAGTACAATGCCTGCACTTTAAAGGAGGGGTTTGGGATATTGACAGCTTGGATGGATATACACAAATAACCCGCACATAAAAGAGAGAAGCTTACGACGACGTTTCGGTCCGACTTGGACCATTGACAAAGTCACATGGATGGATATGTTGTGTATCTTTATATGTATATGCTTCTAAACTGTTGTGTTCTAAGCACCTCTGCAAAAACAATGATTATGTATGAGTGAGGTGAAAGTGTTGAATGATGATGAAAGTATTTTCTTTTTGGGGATTTTCTTTCTCTTTGGGTCACCCTGTGTAAAGGTGATGATGATGCCAGTGTTAAATTTCTCAAGAAACTAACAGATTCTCCTGCAATACTTTAATATTGGAACCTTGTTAACCAGGTTTCACTGTATATTTTTTTATGTACACTAGTATTACATTTAAACTTATTACATTGATGAGGAAGCACTACACCAGTGGAGGTTGTACAGCAGAGCCCTTCACCAGCCTCAAGGAACCTCCCTTGGGTTAGACTTGAATTGAAATATCCATCAACCTCTCGAACAACATGCGTCCTCCTTTTGCTTCTACCTTGGTGGGTAGCAGCCCAGTGTGCTACAAAAATCATACATATGTATTCTTTGTCATAATACAAAAAAACTTATTGGAAAAGGAAACCTCAAAACAAAATGACTTTTTTATTTAATATAACAAATAATAATAATTACATAATTTTTATTTATATTAATCCACTGCTGGATAAGGATCCAATGAGAGTAATAGCACAATTATTGTTATCATAATTATTTCAATCAGTGTGTTTATGTGAAGTGTACATAGTATTGAATACCTAAAAATACCAAGTATACATATGAAACATGGAATATTTATGCCAAATATGCTGGTAACTATTTCATGTTTAGTTCCCAAATAAATTTGAATTCAATTTCACCTACAACCTGACTTGTAAACAAAACTGAAGATCGGATAATTTAGTTAGGCAGAGGATGGTAGGCCTTGGCTAAGACTGTGCTAGAACACTTCTAGGATAAGAGTCCTAGATAAGTCACATTAAAAACTGCTTTTACTGTATACAATTGTTCTTTTACAACAGAATTTAACATTAAATTTTGTTGACTATATACTAAAAAATATTTGGTCCCTCCATGGCACCTATGCATACATACATATTTAGTTCATGCATAATGAGAAAAAGATATGGAGTACAACAAAGGTTTGTGAGGTTAGGAGGGTAGTTACAGGAATTAAAACTGTGACTTCTTGAATATTGTCAAAATGGTAATACAAGAGAAAAACTTGCATTGTGTAAGATTGTCACAGTGCAAAAGTTTTAAAGTAAAAGAGGTAATATGGAAACAAGCTACAAAATGTGGCACAAATGAAAGAATAGGTGGGTAATAAAAAAAATTTCTAAATATCCGACTTTAAAGAATAACAGCAAGACGATAGCAAAAAAGAAAAGAGGTATCAGAAGATCTGATACCTCCTTAATTCTCTTCAGCAGTAGTTTATAAAACAGGTTCAACTGAGGCAGAAACTAAGTTTTGGTTGGAAGGAAATGAGATTAGTTTTGAGTGAAGAGTCAGAATAGTGAAGCAATAGGAAAGGTCAGAGAAAACTAGTAAGGGTGAATGGGATAACACCCAAGATGATGAAAGAAAGTAGGTATGTAATGTTAGAATGGTTGGTGGACTTGTACATTGTGAGTGAGTGAGAGTTAGTGTGAGTGAGAGAGAGAGAGAGAGAGAGAGAGAAGAGAGAGAGAGAGAGAGAGAGAAGAGAGAGAGAGATGTGAGTGTGAGTGTGAGTGTGTGTGTGTGTGTGTGTGTGTGTGTGTGTGTGTGTGTGTGTGTGTGTGTGTGTGTGTGTGTGTGTGTGTGTGTGTGAGAGAGAGAGAGAGTGTGAGAGAGAGAGAGAGAGAGAGAGTGAGAGTGAGAGTGAGAGAGAGTGAGAGTGAGAATGAGAGAGTGAGAGAGAGTGAGTGAGAGGAAAGGCAAGATGACCAAGAAGTGACAGTGTACATCTGTGCTTCCTTTTCTCTTTTTCATTGCAGAGAAAGAATTATAGGAAAGCATGTGTATTAAATACACAAGTGCAAATGAATGATAGAATTATTATTTTTTTTTATTAACACACTGGCCAATTCCCACCAATGCAGGATGGCACGAAAAAGAAAAACTTTCACCATCATTCACTCCAAAGTACATATATGTAAACAAGTGCAGACATGTGGGGATGTGTAAAATGTTTGTACCAAAGCATATACGTGAACAAGTATAATCATGAGTAATCACCTTGTTACATATGCACTGAAAGCACCATGGCTCAAAATTACAAGTACAGCCTTCACACATTTCTTTGGATTAATATTATAAATTAACACTGCATCCTCATTAATACTGCTTTACACAATGAATTTATGTCGCATCTTAATCTCTTGAGTATAAAATTTTAGAAGTCCAAATGCATTATGTACTAAAATAATAATTAATGACTTCAACAAAATTAGCAGAGGAGCAACCAAAAACTTGTTAACTGCTGCAGGTCAGACAACACTGTTCAGTTGTTGTTTATATCTTGCTCATCCTTTGGTTTCTTCATCTGACTTTCCTTATTTCCAACTCAACTTTCCAAAGAAGGACTCTATGGAGTAAGTTCATCAGAGAGAGACAGAAGAAATGAATTTCCATTGATGATTTTTGTGGTTGCAATCACATACTCTGGACCACCTGGTGAAGAAAAAATAATTAAAAGCTACTTAACCAGTAAAAAAAAAGGGGTACAGAAAAACAGGTAATGAGGAAATCATTTTGGCAACTAATTGTTTCTGCCACTATCAGCAAAAATGGCAAAGGGCATGCAACTTGAACAACCATTGTACAGAAATTGGATCTCATCAAAATCTATCTTGAATAACATGTTGCAAGAGATATGAGGTGAAACACATCAGTCACTGGTGGATTTTTGTTAAGATACACTATACTCAAACAAATATGGTAAGCCAATTTTTTACATCTTCACTGAAACTTTCTCAACCTTACATAACCTTACTAAAATTTAGTTAACATAATGCAATATTCCTTAACCCTTTGACTGTCACAACCCCAAATCCTAAAGTGATTCTTTGTATCGTAAAATTTTCAAAAAAAAAAAAAAAAAATCTTATGAAATGATCGAGAATCTTTTCCCGATGTTAATGACACCAAAAGTACGAAATTTGATGGAAAACTCACGGAGTTATGCTCTCGCGAAGTTGGCCAATTTCATGTTCCAGTCGACCAAACTCATAGCTATTTCTTTAGAACTCCATTTGTTCTATCGACTGAGTACAAGAAACTGCCCATTTACCGATTTCAACTACTCAATAGAGCGGTCAGAAATTGGCAATTTGGCTAATTTCACGCAAATTAAAAAAGATGCCAATTTCAAAACAGGGTGCAGAATGAACAATGCACACATTCCTGGCACTAAAATAACATTTTCTCTGTTCATCAGTTATGCCTCCAGGCCCCTCTTATATTACTCTTTCTTTCTATTTTAAATTTTTATTCACACAAAAATAGAAGATTTACTGTTGTGCAGACTACTGCATTATTGTAATAATTGTATAAATAATGTCAACCCATTCGTGACTGCATATTAGAATGGCTAGTTGGACACTTATTGGACAATGACGTCATTTGTTTACTCTTGAACATCGGCAAAAATCGAACATTTCCACTACTTTGAGCTCAATTTCTAGGTCCTTTTCATCGTGAAACCAATCAAAATCATCTCTATTTCTGCAAAGTGTCTTCCATTCTATCAAATGAGACCAAGAAAATGAGAAAACAACCATAAATTCTACATGAAAATACACCTCAAAGTCGGCATTTTAATCCAAAAACAAGGTCCAAGGTTTTTTTTTCTCATTATGCACTGCGTGCTGCATGATTTTTTTTTATACTGTTCACACTAACCACACAGACCCATTCTCTCACATGTGGGTCTACCAACTTTCTCCCACCTGATTTGAAGCCGCTAGAATTTTGGAGTACAAATACGTCAAAAACAGTGGCTCGTAAGACATATATACGTGTATATGACAGAAATAGTCAAAGCGTTAATCCTTTGTATTTTAAGTACTCTAATTTTTTATTATTTATTTCCAATGAAATATCGTAGTGTACTACTTTATATTAAATAAAACAAGCATGATCAAATTTATATTCTGGTGAGAAGAGGGAATGAACAAAGGAAAGTAGGTGATGTAAATTACAATATTTGGATCATATCACAAGAGTTTCCACTTAAGAAACAAGGTGAGATAGCCAACATTTCCTAGTGCCACTAAGTGGGTCATCAAAGCTCCCACAGATATCAGCTATTTCATAAATACAGTACAGGTAGTCTGTTGCAAAAACTTTTTTTGAACTTCCACCAGAACCCTAAAACTAACACAATAAACATGATGGATGTTGCTGTAAATAAAGGACTAATCAATTCTTGTAGTTTATGTGTAGATGATTTTGAGGGCCAGTTTCCATTTGGCCTGCTAAAGCACTAACAGCACAATACACCTACCATCCGACTTACGACCTGCTCGACATATGACCATTCGACTTATGACCGTGTTTTCTATACCAAATTTCTGGGAAATAAACAACTGTTTTTGTTGTACACAGTGTTTATCCTAAACCTTACAGTATAAAATACAGAACTAATAGCATAAAAAGTAAAGTAAAAAATGAAATACCAAAATGAAACAATAAAATAAAGTCATTACAAAAATGTGATGTTGATATTCAGTAGTAAGGTTTGACTTACGTCCATTTTGACTTACGACCGGTTTGTTGGAACCGAACTCGGTCGTAAGTCGGATGGTACCTGTACTTACTTTAATACACTGATGCCAACTAGGGACTCAAATTCACTAAGATTCACTAGCAATATTTACAGTCACTAATGGTGACTTCTACATTCATATACACTTGCATGTACTGTACATAATGAATGCATGCATGTTATACCTATATAAGTAAGTTTTTGTATTATATGAATATAATTACCATCCCCCCCTAGGTAGAAGGATGGTAGACAGCAACCACCTATGGAGGCACTACCATCCTGCCAAATTAGTGTGAAATGGAAACCTGTGACTGTTTTACACAATGGTAAGACTACTGAGGTCTTTGTCTCAAACATGTGGGATAATGAGTATATCATGTTACTTCTACTTACACTTATGTGACATTACACATGCATGTACACACACATTTACACACCCATCTGGGTTTTCTTCTATTTTCTTAATAGCTCTTGTTCTTGTTTATTTCTGTTTATCTCCGTAAACCATATGTGTAGTAAGAGGCGATTAACCCTTTCAGGGTCGAGAGGCCCTCTTCTAAACTTGTTCTCAGGGTCGAAAATTTAAAAAAAAAAATAAATCCTCATGAAATGACAGAGAATCTTTTTCTGATCATAATGACACCAAAAGTAAGAAATTTGATGGAAAACTTATGGAATTATGCTCTTGCGAAGTTAGCAGCCTCGACGATGTTGACACATCGGCGATTTTGCCCACTTTGAGCCCTATTTTTGGCCAATTCCAACGTACCAGTCAACAAAAATCATAACTATTTCGCTAGAACTCCACTTTTTCTATCAAATGAGTACAAGAAACCACCCATTTACGGAATTCAGCTATCCAATAAAGTGGTCAGAAATTGGCAATTTTGCCAATTTCACACAAATTTCAAAAGATGCCAATTTCCAAATAGGATCCAGAATAAACAAGACAGACATTCCTGGCACTAAAATAACATTTTCTCTGTTCATTAGTCATGTCCCTAGGCTGCTCTTACATTTCTTTTGCTTTCCACTTTGAATTTTTATTCTCACAAAAAATAGAAGATTTACTGTTATGCAGACTACTGCATTAGTGTAGAAATGGTATAAATAATATCAGCGCACTTGTGAAAGAACATCAGACTCACCAGTTCACATGTACTGGATGCATGGCATGATTTGTTTACTTTTGAACTTTGGCAAAAATCAAACATTTCTGCTACCTTGAGCTCAATATCAAGGTACTTTTCATTGTGAAACTAATCAACATAATCTCAATTTCTGTAATATGTCTTCCATTCTATAAAATGAGACCAGGAAAACTAGAATACAACCATAAATACCATACAAAAATACACTGCAAAATCATTGTTTTAAACCAAAAACACGGTCAGTTTTTTTTTCTCATTATGTACTGTGCACTGCAGGATTATTTTTTTATACTGTGCACACTGACCACATAGACCCATTCTTTCATATGCAGGCCCACCAGCTTTCTCTCGCTAGATTTGAAGGCGCTAGAATTTACACGTACAGTGGATCCCCGGTTCGCGAGCTCATCGTAAACCAAAATTATCGGAAAGCAAATCAATTTTCCCCACAAGAAATAATGGAAATCAAATTAATCCGAGCAAGACACCCAAAAGTATGAAAAAAAACTTTTACCACATGAAATATTAAGTTTAATACAATAGAATAATTACAATAACAACAATAACAATAGAATAATAACAATAGAATAATTGACACTTACCTTTAATGAAGATCTGGTGATGATTGATGGGATGGGAGGAGGGGAGAGTGTCGAAGTTTTTAATGTTTAGAAGGGGAATCCCCCTCCATTAGGACTTGAGGTAGCAAGTCCTTTTCCGGGGTTACTTCCCTTCTTCTTTTAATGCCACTAGGACCAGCTTGAGAGTCACTGGACTTCTGTCGCACAACATATCTGTCCATAGAGGCCTGTACCTCTCGATCCTTTATGACTTTCCTAAAGTGCTTCACAACAGTGTCATTGTACAGGTTGCCAACACGGCTTGCAGTAGCTGTGTGAGGGTGATTTTCATCAAAAAAGCTTTGCACTTCAAGCCACTTTGCACACATTTCCCTAATCTTTGAAGTAGGCAACTTCTTCAATTTCTCCATCCCCTCCTCCGAAGCAGTTTCCTCAGGTCTGGCCTCTTGCTGCTGAAGATGATCTAGCAGTTCATCAGTGGTTAGTTCGTCATTGTCCTCCTCTATCAACTCTTCCACATCTTCCCCACTAACCTCCAACCCCAAGGACTTCCCCAATGCCACAATGGATTCCTCAACTGGCATAGGCTTCTCAGGGTTAGCCTCAAACCCTTCGAAATCCCTTTTGTCTACACATTCTGGCCACAGTTTTTCCTCTTAGTCACTCCCTCCCAAGCCTTACCTACAAGGTTTACACAATTGAGGATATTATAGTGATCCTTCCAAAACTCCTTTAGAGTCAATAGAGTATCTGTGGTCACTTCAAAGCACCTTTCAAACATAGCTTTTGTGTACAGTTTCTTGAAGTTGGAAATGACCTGCTGGTCCATGGGCTGCAGGAGAGGAGTGGTATTAGGAGGCAAAAACTTGACCTTAATGAAGCTCATGTCCCCACAAAGTCGCTCTGCCAAGTCTGTAGGATGACCAGGGGCATTGTCTAATACTAGGAGGCACTTAAGGTCTAATTTCTTTTCAATTAGGTAATTTTTCACATGGGGGCAAATGCATGGCATAATCATAGAAAAAGCCCCTAGTGACCCATGCCTTACTGTTTGCCCTCCACAGCACACACAAATTAGCCTTGAGGATATTCTTTTGCCTGAATGCTCTGGGAGTTTCTGAGTGATACACCAATAAAGGCTTCACTTTGCAATCACCACTAGCATTGGCA